CATTTATATTTATCCTCTATTAGAATCAAAATGCAGATGCGTTGTCACCCCTGAGGATGACCTCAATCTTTTAAGACGTTCAGAAGTTACACGATCACTAACAGACGCACTTACGATTATAATATAACTATTGAAAACGAAAATTATTATCTGTATCATACACTTTTGCGTATATTTTATAAAGATATAATGTTTTGAAGTCATACTAAGTATAGTAAACCAAGAGTAAAAAATTTTGGTCAATTTTAATCTACAAAGGTATCGTCAAAATCTTATATACTAACTGTCGAGGATTAAATTATGCTGCGTATATGTAGTAATTCATCAGTATAGACAGACAGATTCAAAGTTAATACAAAAAATATTTAAGCTTTTATACCCGATTCTGTAGCTCAATGCTCATTCTTATCATTTTCTTTCAACGTTAATCACCACTTCATTTCTTTCTGCTATTTACCAGAAGTTTTTATAACGAAAAAAGATTTTGTAGTCATAAACGTTGTTGGTGAGAGCTCAGAGCGCAATTAACAGAAGCGAGCCTTATCTTACCATGAAATTTTATAAGAAAAATCGAACAAAAAAGCATGTTTTTTATGTACGTGATATATTTTTTAATATTCTCACCATCGATCACTAATAAAAAACTGATCGATGATTCTCACGTACTCGCGTACGTTCGTAAGTTCTTGATAGAGAAGTGTTCTTTTGCGGGGGTGTATGGGTAACGTTACCCCCACACTAAGATTTTCTTCTGAATCGTGGATGTAGTACAAACATAAACTGCACAAGGACAAACATCTTTACTAATAATATTCTAAAAGAGAACCAAACTGTAAATGAGAACTAAAAAATTTTTCTTAAAATAATAACAAATAGTTTAAACGAACATATACCTATGATAAAAGTAAAAATAAAAAACAAAAAAATAAAGGCTGGTTGACAACTGGATTAAAAAAATCTTGTAAGCATAAAAGACTTTAAGAATAATCCTTAATGATACAAAAAGTCCAGTTTTTCTTAATTACTATAGAAAATACACAAAAATTCTTAAACGTAGTATCAAATTATCAAAAAAACTACAATACATTAAACAAATGAAAAATTCGAGTAATAAAATAAAGACCATGTGGAACATAATTAATAATAAATTGGGTAGAATGAAAACAAAAAATCGCAAAAACATGATGTTAAATATTAATAATAACACAATAACGTGTCCCATTCAAATTTCTAACATATTTAATGAGCATTTTGCACCAATTGGTAAAACTAATAATATTAATAAACATCAGAAACAATATAAAAATTCTGTCGAATTGAAACCGACATGCTCCATGTACCTAACCTCAGTTGATGAAAGGGAAATCCAAAATAGTATAAAAAAATTAAAAACTAAATATAGCTGTGGTGTAGATGACATACCACCGGCGCTTTTAAAACAATGCACTGAAGAATTTGTCTATCCCCTTACTTTTTTAGTAAACCAAAGTTTTCAACATGGCATATTTCCAGACCCTCTCAAAATAGCACTAATAAAACCGTTGCACAAAAAAGAAGATAAAAAAACCCTAACAACTACAGACCAATAGCCCTATTGCCCACCTTTTCAAAGATATACGAAAAAGCAATGTGTAATAGACTCTACTCATTCCTTGAAAAGTATGAAATACTGGATGATAGCCAAAATGGATTCAGAAAATCAAGATCAACCACCCTAGCTGTATATAAGTTCATACAAATGGCCTTACAAAATTTAAATGATAAAAAACATACTTTTGGTGTTTTACTTGATATGAAGAAAGCATATGACAGGGTGCCCTATGATAAACTACTTTTAAAACTTATGAATTCGGGTGTCCGTGGGCTAGTACATAACTGGTTTAAATCCTATTTAAATAATCGGAAGCAAATTGTAGAAATTGAACACTTCAACCAAAATACAAATGAAGTAATAAAAGTTCGTTCTGAAGAGAAACACCTAACTAGTTCAATCCCACAGGGCAGCGTCTTAGGTTGTGTGCTGTTTCTTATTTATGTAAATGACCTGCCAAAATGTTTGTATAGAGAATCAACACTGCCAGTATTATTTGCAGATGACTTGTCAATACTTATAAAAAGTAACGACAACATTAGCTCAGAAGCCCTTATCTATGATACACTTCATAATGTCACTCATTGGCTTGATAGCCATAGTCTAGAAATAAACCTTAAAAAGACAAAAATTTTACAATTTCGTTCATATAATAAACCACCCTTAGAAATTAATTTTCAATTACAAAATACCCTAATAGAAGAGGTGGACTCGTATAACTTGCTTGGACTTAATGTAGATACACATTTAAACTGGAAGTCACATATTGAAAAAATTAAATGCAAGCTCTCTAAATTTACATATACGCTTTATCAAATTAATCATAGCACAAATTTAGAAACTGCACTTTAGACATATTACGCGTATGCCTTTTCGTGGCTAAAATATGGCATTATCCTTTGGGGTAATAGTGTTAATGCAGATGAATTGTTCATTTTACAAAAAAAAATGTGTTAGGATACTTGCCAGAATTGATAACAGACATAGCTGTCGACCCTACTTCATTAAATTTAAATTATTAACCTTAGTTTCTATTTACATAAAAGATATAAGTAATTTCGTATTTAAAAATAAACACTTCTTCACCCAGATAAAAGAAACACACAATGTAAATACTAGGCATAAACATAGGTTATACTTACCCCCATCTAGAACCAAAATGCTCAATTGTAGTCCATATTACATGGCAATTAAAATATTCAATAAACTACCCATAAATATAAAATCTGATGTTAAATTAAGTTCATTCAATAAAAAACTTCATGATTATCTTATATCCAAATGCTTTTACACGCTTCCTGAATTTCTTGATAGTTAATTACTAAGTATTAAATAACATTTTATTTTCAAAATAGCCAAATATAATATAATGATTATATAGTTATATTGATTATTAGTTACAAGTCCATTTAATTATTTTATTGTATATTTCTTGTATATTGCAACGCCCGACAGGGTCTATAATGGTCACTGTAACTGCTAATGTACTGTACATTATAGAAGCAATAAACGATTTGAAATTGAAATTGAAATTACTATTTGTAGAACATACAAATCCTTGATCTGTGCGGGATTCGAACAAGTGACCTTTACTGCCGCAACTTAATTCTAAGCCACTACGCTACAGAGCCTTCAAACTAAAAGATAAATAATTACAAAGCCAGCGGTGTGGTGGCAGTGTAAGGGCATCTTCCCATTTCAAGACGTCTGGTACTGCGATCTTCCATCCGCCTGCCAAGCCCAACACAAGAGGAGAGGCACATTTCTCTTCCTGGCTTGACTACGAGAAAATAATAATAATAATAATAACTTTCGTAGACACAGTAGCCTCCCTCCACTGGCTACGCTTTGGTGACCTCTACGGGGAAACCGAGGGTTTTGTCTGTGCAATACAAGATCAGGTTATTAAGACCAACAACTATCGGAGATACATCCTAAAGGATGGCACCGTCGACATCTGTCGAGCTTGTCGCCATCCACCGGGATCACTTAGGCATGTCATCTCCGGTTGTTCGGCGCTTTCTAACTCTGAGTACTTGCACAGACACAACCTATTAGCCAGAATTCTGCTCTGAAATATGGTCTTGTGGATCGGAAATTGCCGTATTACAAGTACTTGCCGGAAGCCGTGCTCGAAAATGACGCGCCAGGCTCTATTGGGACCGGGCCATCATCACAGACAGGACTATTCTTGCGAATAAGCCTGATATTGTGCTGATGGACCGGGGACAGTCAAGGATATTTTTGGTCGACATTACCATTCCGTATGACGAGAACCTCGTGAAAGCCGAAACAGATAAGCGAACAAAATATCTGGACCTGGCTCACGAGGTGACTGACATGTGGAGTGGTCTGCCGGCCGAAATTATTCCTGTAGTCGTCTCTGCGAATGGGCTAATCCCAGTCAGCCTCTCGGGTCATCTGAGGCGACTGGGACTCCGTGACGGACCACTCCGGGCTCAAATGCAGAAGGCAGTGCTCCTCGATACCGCCTGCATCGTCCGCCGGTTTCTTTCCCTTTCCTCCTAACCCTCGGCCGTCTGGTCTCCCCTACCGAGGGCTTCCATCTGGTTGGGTCTTTATTTATTTATGTATTTTTTGTATTTTTATTTTATTTTATTGATATTTATGTATATTTATCTCTTCATTTTAATTTATAATTATATATTTATAGAACCCAACCGGATGAGAAAACTATATATATACCCCAAAATATAATAATAATAATAATAATTATGTTTATTTCTCCTCACAAACACAAATACCGACCATACATAATAAAAACTTATATCTATTTAAATACAGGTATGTTCATACTCATAGCCTAGAATCTTGAAGAGCTGGTGTTTGAGATAGGCAATAAAATGCCTGTATTACAAATCACCAGGTCTCCACCCCATGAGATATAAATAAGAGCATTATTTGTAATTGAGCGCTACATATATTGTAGATCGTAGGATCATAATGTATTATTTCGATATAAGTGACAATTTAATTTATACGTAAAACAAAAATTGTACTAAGAAAAAAAATACAAATAAATACAAAGTAACAGTGGTTTCGTAACCTCATATATTGTGTGTGCATGCGTGCATGCGTGCGTGCGTGCGGGGGTGCGTGCGTGCGTGCGTGCGTGCGTGCGTGCGTGCGTGCGAGCGTGCGTGTAATTTTACGGGCTTATATGGATTTTGATGACGATGACGACGACAACGACGATGATGATGAAGATGATGATTTCTTCTCGTAGTTGTAGTAAGTAGCAACTATGGGGAATGCCAGAAAGATCCCATGACTTTAACCAATGTTCTTCAACCATCTTGTTTATGTCAGTCAGACAAATATTATAATTAATCATAGTAGACAGATCAACTAAATTTATCAATGTTCAGCTTGCAGGCACAATAACTGGATGAACGACGTCGCAAAGCGGAATAGTTTAGAAAGAGTACTTTACAACATAGGAGTACACGATGATGAAGGTAATGTCGAATGCATTATGCAATACCTGGCACAACCGAATGGTTCTCACACGAGAATATATTGCACGAATGTGAAGAATATCCCTAAAATTATACATAACCGCTTAATACGCATGAAAAAATACAAGTTTGCTTTCAAGCTTATATGAATGTTTGGTTGACGATGCTAAAGTTTTGCATATATTTTTTATCCTTGGCTTGGGTTAAGGTAAAGTAAGCACCATAAATCTAGTGTATAACGTAGTTTGTCATTTCATATTCTAGTCTCTCCTAGATAGGGGAAATAACATTCCACCTATCAAACACAAAAGCGGCAGATATTTCCCGAGAGATATTGGCCGAGTTCTATGGCAACTCCTTCACAGTTTAGGCTACACGCGTTTGGTACTCCTTGCCCGATGACATCAGAAAAGTTCCCAATAAGAACGCTTTTAAAAAGTTGGTCCGTGAACATTAAAGACAATGCATTTTACATGACTCATCTAGGTATTTAATATGTATTGCCAAACGGACGTATATATTCATATTCATTTGTATATACTAATTATGTATGTGTTTAAATATGTATACTTGTACGTATATGCATTTATTTATATATTTGTATATATGTAAGGATATATCATATATGTATAGTTTATTTATTAGTAGTTTGTATATATTATGTAGTTAATTATCATTTGTATTGTGTTCCGTTCTTCTATATTGCCATACCTACGTCAAATTCTCACCACTCCATGGGTTGACTGGTAGAGAATGCCTCAAGGCATTAAGAGGACTGTGAAGTGCCGATACGCGACGCGAGTAGGTATTTTCAAAATGCTATCTGTTTCATATTGTTAACTTTGCCTCCCTCCGGGCGTGACAAGCACAAATTATAACTTATTATATAAACAAATTCTTACGCACACTACAACAGCAGCAGTAAGCGACGCTCGGGCGTATTCTGTGAATCGCTCGAACGTCGGCTATATGCGGTTTGTATACATTTACGACAAGCAAGGAAATTTAAATTCTAATACCTTTAAAGGAGCAATTCTTTTATATACATATAGTGTTTCGAAGATTACTATAGTTCAAATGAGAAATCGGCGGTCCCGAATCCGAATAACTTCGGCCCGACTTTTTTTCAAGTTCCCTTCTTTTGTTAGAAAATCTATTATTTCGAGCCCTTTTTTAGTATTTCTTTAAAAACAAGAAAAATTAAATTAAAACTAATTGAACTCATGATTTTTATTTAAATAATCAGTTCAGTATTTTTTTTTTATTATGTTGGTAGGATCGAAAAATATTATTCATATTACATCAGTATGTAATTTGTATCTAGATATAATTTCCAAAAAACACGATTTCCAAGAAACAAAGCTCGGTCATCCTCTTTGACGACAAGGACATAATTATTCAATTTGTTTGTGTTTCTTAGCAATTTTATTATACTTATTGCATCGTGTGTGTAGACATTTAGTAGGTACTAACTACATATACCTTATAGAAGTGAGCTGTTATTTTTATATGTAAGTATCTACCTATTTATATCTGTCAAAGGCAAATGCCAGCTTTTACGATGAGTATTATATTCATTCAAATAAAATTAATTTATACCTTTTAGAATGGAAGATAAAGATTATAGACGAGAAAAAGAAGTCGACCGTGGTAACGCAAACTTCTAAAATCAACAGGTATATACCACATAACGTACTATTGCACATAGGTATCATACGTAATATTATTTATTCTGTGATCATACTTTGACTGGTAGGTGACAGACCGAAATTTATTTCGCCAAAATATAAAATTATGGAATAGCTGATGTTGATTTTTAAGACTTCATAAAAGCACGAGGTTCTATATTCGTCTGTATGTTTTTTCTTTTATTTTATGTTTTATGTATGTTCACTGATTTCTTCATCGTGGACCGATTTTTAATACCTATTCATTTTTCTTCGATAATGTATGTGTCACATTTGGCCCCATATAAATGTCATAGAAATCATTTCAACCATGACATATTATGTTGTAATTCAGTTTTATTGAAGTCGGTTGTACAAAATTTTCAATTTTACCACTTGTCTAGCAATAATATTAGTCCATTAGAAAATGTTGTTCGTATTGCTAATTCTAATTACTAATTTACTAATCTAAATTTTAAGCCCGCGACTTTTGCCCGTGTTAGTTAGCCATAAAATATATTTTTAATTATTATCATTCTAAGTATTTATTTTTCAGTGACTTTGAGCTCGACAAGGAATTCGCGGACCGTAATATCACAGTCTATAAATCCATATTTATTATACTGTGGTAATATGCAGGGACGATGTACTCCTAATATTCGTCAAAAGGATATTAGAGGTCTAACAGCGCTACATCGATGGAAGAAGGCATAATAGTGGAGGATTTCCAAAAAAGCGTTGAAATACATGGCGTTAAATGTTACATGCTGATTGGCGATGGCGACTTTGGTATCTTAAATGGACTACTGATTACTATGCCATACGGTTCTAACCTCATGGTTAAAAAAGTAGAATGCAAAAATCACCTTTTCAGAAATTTTTGTTCCAAATTGAAGCAGTTGGGGAAGAAATCTAACAACCAACAGGGTTACTTACCAGTACCTATAAGAAAAACAGTTGTGAGCAGTGTTTTACGTCGTATTTACGTGGTAGAGCCATGCTGTAGTTATATTAGTAGTATAATAATGTCCTCCAGACCAAATTTCGGCCACGGCGGCCTGCTCAACGGAGGCTAGCCAACGGCGCAGGACAGGATTATAGTGCCCAAGTGTATGCGCAAGCACAGGTGCACTCTCTATTCTATCACTCCCATAATCCGATTGAACGGTAAACCGAGACGATCGGAGAGAGATCAGGTGCAGGACCAACGGCTTTATGTGCTTTCTGAGGCACGGGGGTGAGACACCGCCAACTTCCTGACTCCGGGCAGCTACTGAGAATTTCTTGACAGAAAAACTCAATAATTTATTTTTGGCCCGACCCGGGATTCGAACCCAGGACCTCATAATCAGCAGTCGCACTACTACAACCACTAGACCAACGAGGCAGTCAAAATTAGTAGTATAGTTGTAGCACGAATGGGTCGGCTCGACCGGGGAAGGACCGGGGAAGGAAGGAAGGTGGAATGCCTCGTTTCCAGTAAAAAGTGTGTCCGGCTCTCATAGAATACCAGCGTCAAATAGTAGCTTAATGCTGCTGTGTTTCGTATAGTGAGTGTAGAGACCCGGAGACACTTTTTACTGGAAACGAGGCATTCCACCTAAGTTCTCACGGTTTTGATTCGTAATCGAGGATAGATGTAGATGTCTATGGGCCACAGCAACCACTTACCATCAGGTGGGCTGAGTGCTCGTTTCCTATTCTATATAAAAAAGCCGTGCGAAAAAGACGTCGTGAAACATTAGAAGAACAAAGACATCACCGACGCGGAAAAAATTAAAAACCTCAAAAATGACATAAAAATCAGTGCCAATAATGTTTTTAAGAAAAGAAAGAAGAGTTTTTGGCTTCTTTGCAAAAAAACGAGGACGAAATAAAAGAATTAGAATTGGCTACTAGAGGTCAAAGAGACAATGATTTGTGGTACCCTGAGACTAACTGCATATACATTTGGAAAAATCGCAAACTGCGCCCTTACTGTATACTCATTTCAAAGGAAATACGGCAACCGAATATGGAAACCAACACGAATCGGAGGCCATACGAGAATTTTCTCAGCATATTGATTAAGATGATTATTATTTAGGGGCAAGTCCCGATGGACTTATCGGAGATGACTCTCTAATTGAAGTCAAATGTCCTATTTCTGCTTCTAATATGCCACCTGTGGAGGCCATAACTGAAAAAAAGATCAAATTTTGTTTGATACGAGAAGGACAGATGATTTTAAAAAAGAAATCATGATAACTATTATCAGGTCCAGGGAAAATTACATATCACTGGTAGGCAATTTTGTTTTTTCGTAGTATGGACGCCACATGTTTTGGCGTATGAAAAAATTAAGTACGATGACCACTTTTGGACAGAAAAAATGCAGGCAAAACGTAACTCATTTTATTTTCAGTGTTTATTATCAAAACTGATTGACCCTCGAGTGTCTAGAAATTTACTACAACATTTTCAAAAGTTATGATAATTAGACTATGTTTACTGGTGGGAAAACGATATCGCTTTTTGTATGAAAATTTACAGCTTCATAATCCTCTTAAGTCCGCCCTTTGTATTCTTTTGTTTAAGGATGCAATAAAGAATAAAAATAAATAAATAAATATTTATTTTGACTCATAGTAGCTAAAACCTAAAGATGATAGTGGGCTTTCGTTCAATACCGTAGTCCCGACGGCGATAGCCTATTCTCTTTCTCATTGATCTGATTTGATTGTTATTTATGTTGGATCGCACAGAAACATACTGCACGTCCGGTATCATCCTCGTGTCCACCGCCTAAACCCCAATAAGGTCTCAATGAGAGGGCCAGATTAACTCTTCTCCGAGACCCGGCTCTCTGGCTGCGGATTGGGATATCTACCGTTATCTCGTATTTAACTTAATAGGCGTTTGGCTTTTTTGGTGAAATGGTACCTTTAGCATCGATCATATATAATAAATAAGCACTTACAATTATAACTTATAATTTCAACGGGTTCAAACACTCTCTCTGCACTGCTCAAGCACTCTTAAATTTACGGTAATCGCTTAACTCTTTTCTGGCTGAACTACTGCGGCTACTTAGAATAAAGCACTATGAACGTGCAAGTATTTAAAACGACGTTTACGGTGTTTTTATTTGCATGCATTTAATACAAATTTCTTCCTCGTCCCAGATTATTATCTTAACCAACACTGAACGTTCTTTGATTAAACTTTATCCCTTTTTTGGTGGCACTTACTAATTATATATTTTTTCCATATATTTCTATTTTATACATGGTATGTTTTATACGTGGTAGAGCCATGCTGCAGTTATATTAGTAGTATAGTTGTAGCACGAATGGTTCGGCTCGACCGGGAAAGGACCGCTCTCTCACAGAATTCCAACGTAAAATAGTAGCTTAATGCTGATGTGTTTCGTATGGTGAGAGTAGAGAACCTGAGACCCTTTTTACTCGAAACGAAGCATTCTATCTTAGTCCTCACGGGTGACAACGCATCTGCATTTTGATTCGTAATCAAGGATAGATGTAGATGTCCACTTACCATCAGGTGAACTATGTGCTAGTTTGTTACCCTATCCTATAAAAAAATCTTCTACAAGGTTCGTGAATGCTTATATATGCGTTTATCAAATAAAGACACAACGTCGATAAAGAGAGCGAAACAAAAGCAAACGCACGGTCCTGAGCTATCTGCATGTCTTACCAGGTCACTCCATCTAGTAAGGGGCCGCCATATCAATATACCTGCTTAATGAATATTATGTGACCTCTCACTACATTATATAGTTATTACATTTTAGCAAATTGGTATAAACTAGTGTGAATATCTGAGATAACAGCGCCCAAGAAGGCTTCATAAAAACTTGCCAAAGTAGTAACATAAAGCATGTTACACATTTTAATACACGGCTTTTAAAAAGGCTTTATCTTTGGAAAAGGGAACTCCGTATTGCCTTAATGGTAGGCCTGTCTTAGTATAGACTGTAAGCTTTCCATAATGTTCCAGCGAAGGTGGATCTTATAGGCAACACCAAACATAAACTATTATGATTATTTGAAACATCCAAACTGAATTTAAATTACAGGGTGCGAAATTGTGTGATAAGAGTAGTGTTGTTTGCAAGATGACGTTGTGACCAGGAATGATGAAAGGAATGCTTCGGTGGTTTGCTCATGTAGAAAGGTTGAACGAGGAAAGTGACAAAGCAAATTTATACAACATGTAACATAATTAACGCATTTTGAGAAAGTAGTTTGTTCAGAATGTTTTACTGAATCGATTCCTATCATTTTTAATATAGGTAATTTTTTATCCCAAAAATAATTAAAACTACGTAAATTACAGTCACACTAAATCTGTACAGTCAAAACAAATTGAAATGGACCGTAACTTAAGGCAATAAGACTTTTAAGAGTAAACTGCACTCTATATTTATTATATCACTAATTTAGTATATATTAAAATTTATATTTGTAATATTACTAATTCTGTCATTCAATAACAATAAAGAAAAATGAACTTTATTTCAAGCACGCTAAAGTCTTTGCGTTCGTGGATTTGTACTGTGACCACATCATTCTTCCGGAATTAGTATAACTAATTTGATAAATAATCAGTGCATAAAAATGTTTAACTAAAATTCGGTGTATGTATTATGATTACAACATAATATACTAATTGGGGTGTCTGAGGGTGTGCGTTAATTACGTTACATATTGTATAGATGTGAATGGTAGAGTCGGAAAGGGACACCCTAGACGAATGTTTATCGATAAAATTGGCGATATATTGAAAATGGGCCAGATTAGGAGTACCCTTAACCGACAAGCGTTTAGGGGTAGATATATGAATGTAAAGGAGGCGAGAGAGTTTTGTCAGGATCGTGCCAAATGGAAGTCCGTAGTATTTGCCTAGCCCTCTGGGTGACAGGCGTGAATGTTTATGGATTATTGAAACTTCCACTAAATTATACATTTATTTATTCTTTTATTCTCCCACTTCGTTTATGGGGCTATAGCTGATTGTACGTCCCAAATTCTATTAAGTTACGTGACACTGTATGATAACGTATTTTTTTAATAGAATAAGGGTGACAAGCAAACACACAATCCACCTGATGGTAATAGGATGCTGTGGCCAATAGATATCTTCTACATCCTTGATCAAGCATCAAAATGCAGATGCGTTGACAACCCTGAGGACTAAGATGGAATACCTCCTTACCAGTAAAAGGGTCACAGGTTCTATACATTCACCGTACGAAACACAGTAGATTCAAGTGCTGGTTTACGCTGGTATTCTGGGAGAGCGTGGTCCTTCCCCGGTAGATGTCTATGGGCAACCACTTACCATCAGGTGGACTGTGTGCTCGCTTGTCACCCTTTTCTATATAAAAATAATGATTTCCCCACAGTAGTTTGTGAAGCCGAGTTTTAATTCTTTCATGCACGATATCTTGGCAATGATATCAGAAGCTGAAATATGGAAATTATTTTATTATTTTATTTTTTGTATTTCGTTAAAATCGGCTTTTACTATAGTTTAAAAGCTTAATTTTGTACTTCTTAGCATTTAATAACAATATAATTTCACAGATATATCATGCAAAACTCCAAGTGGCGATGCAGGTCAATGCGTTGAAATTCTTGAGTGTCGACCTCTATTAGCTGCATTAAACAAACCATACAGAACATCACAGGACTTCGACATCCTAAGAAAATCACAGTGTGGATATAGACAAACAATTCCAAAGGTAACAATGAAGACCGGGCAACACTGGATGGCAAAAACCATGCTTATAGTTATTTACATATTATAATGTTTACAAAAGAGTAGAGTCAATAATGACATCATGTATTTCCCAGAATTTTCGGTCATCACTGAAAACCAAAGTTGTGATTTAACCACAACACATGTAGAGTTTTGTCCTTTTCTGGCATGCCTTTTTCTTACAAAGTCAAATTTATTACATTTACGAAATTTTTCAGTTATAAATTTGTGTATTAGTGTGTGCATCAATGGATTGCATAAAGTCAGCACAAGATCAGCATAAAGTTTTATTATATTTACTTCATCTTCTTTGTTTTCCTGTAAGCCCGCCAAAATGGCAACCGTTCAAATTTAAGAAAGAACTAAGATTAGTTTGAATAAAATATTTACGGATTTTACCGCGTTTAAGGCCGAATACGAAGAGAACTGGCGAAAATTAATGTATTTCTCTTGACTAGAACTTTGACCTGAAGTAATTCTAAGCTTTAAAACATTTTTGTAGGTTTGTTCGGGTCCTTCACAAGGTCACCGTCATTTTAAAATTTTAAAATAAATGAATATACCAACAAATAAAAAAATGTTAAAAATGATATATAAAATTATTGTTCTTCCAAAACTCTGTGAATTTTAATTTAGGAATAATTCTTTTACGTAAAAATGTTTGTATTGTGATTCCGAAGGTACCTGCTATCTTTATTTTCGATACAAAATATTATTTATTAACATAATTCGTTTTAATTAAAAACACCTAATAATAATATCGTATATTGCCAGATAAAAGTTTGCCGTAATAAATTACCCGGCGCTTCGACGTGTGACGTAAGGTAACAACAGTCAATGTGTCAGTAGCGAAAATCGTTAATTTAGTGTTTTATACGCGTTTATGTGTCCATAAATGTTAATATGGGTAGGAAAAGAAATAAATGTTACCTAAGTGGTAAAACGAAGAGAGTTTATCGCATGAACGCTGCTCGAATGTTGTATTTTGAGGTTAATACTTATATTTTTGTAAGGTAATTTTTTGTTTGAGGCTGCCTAATAGGTTGCATTTTTACTCATTTACATTAGCCAAACTGATCATTTATACTTTTCTAGTTTCAAGTGAGAAACACTAAAAATGTAAAATATCAAGACCCAGTCGGAAAAGAATGTACAGAGTAGTGCAAGCACAGAGACCGCAAATAATGTCAGTCAATGTATTGTCCGTAAGCATGGGATAAGTACATAATTAAGAAAAACCGAAATACTTCGGATGTGAAGTGATTCACCAGTCAGAGTAGTCTTGTGAGAATTTACATACACATTACCTATCCCCATATGGGGCAATCACCGACTTTTTAGTTTTTTTTTCTTTATTATTTATGCAATTTGCATTACGGCATCTTGTAAGACTTACAAGAACAAACATTTTCAGTTATATGAGGTTCTTTACGTACGATGCACCAATAAAGAAAACAAATCGTTATCAATTCAATAACTTTTCGAACAATATTTTATAACGAATAAAGTACAGAATTTATAATCTATAGGAACTAATTGAATAAAACTAAATTTACGGATTTTATCGCGTTTATTTCACTACTTTTACTTATTTTTAATTCCCGACGTTTCGGGTGCTTTACAGCAACCATGGTCACGGAGGGGACTGAGATGTTTGACGTCCCAATGTCATAGTTAGTCCGGCTACCTTCAGTTTTTGAATATTAATTTTTAGTCCGATTTACGCAAAACGAGCTTATAGTATCATGAAGTCTTGCAGTGATATGCTTAGGTTTGGGTTTAATTTTGTTAATTATAGGATCCCAAGCAGGTGGCAGCACCCATCCATCTTCTCTATTGAAATTTGGATGTTTTTTAATTTCAATAGCCTCGCGTATCATCTTTGGTAGTAATCGGTGTTTTTTTGCGAGAATTTGTGGTTTATCAAAACGAATGTAATGGTGGGGACGATCTTGAACATGTTCACCATTGATGTGGAGTGAAGCCGGCCACAGTCGAGCGTGTACCTGCTGTACTACCATATGTCAGAGGAGTCACAGACAAGGTTGGCTACATCTTGAAGCGAGCTTCTATTAAAACATACTACAAGCCGCCGAAGAAGATTAGTCAATTTTTACCATCCGTCAAGTGTAATATCCCTCTACAAGATGCAGGAGTGTACAAGTTAGATTGTGAATGTGGTCTCTCTTACATAGGTCAAACAAAAAGATCCATAAAAACCCGCGTGAAAGAACATATAGCTGACGTGAAGCACCGACGCTCCGGGAAGTCTGCAGTCTGCGAACATGTTCAAGATCGTCCCCACCATTACATTCGTTTTGATAAACCACAAATTCTCGCAAAAGAACACCGATTCCTACCAAGGATGATACGCGAGGCTATTGAAATTAAAAAAACATCCAAATTTCAATAGAGAAGATGGATGGGTGCTGCCACATGCTTGGAATCTTATAATTAACAAAATTAAACCCAAACCTAAGCACACCACTGCAAGACTTCATGATACTATAAGCTCGTTTTGCGTAAATCGGACCAAAAATTAATATTCAAAAAACTGAAGGTAGTCGGACTAACTATGACATTGGGACGTCAAACATCTCAGTCCCCCCCCCGTGACCATGGTTGCTGTAAAGCACCCGAAACGTCGAGAATTAAAAATAAGTAAAAGTAGTGAAATAAACGCGATAAAATCCGTAAATTTAGTTTTATTCAATGTGTAGTGTTCGCGTAAATTTAAGAAATCATTATAGGAACTAATATTATAAATAAGAAAAATTTATTTAAGAAGTAAGCAATGCTCTCTGTGTTGTTCATTACTCTGCATCTGAGCTAGTTCGTCAAATATAATCAAAGCCCGTACGGCTTTGATTATAGGTATTATACATGTCTATATAAACAAAGCGTAGATACTGGCGGCGCGTGGTTCGCTGCGAAACGAGCAAGGTCATTCGTGTCGTATTCGGCCTTAATTACTTAAATTTATTTTTATTATCCCGACGTTTCGGGTGCTTTACAGCACCCATGGTCACGTGGGGGGACTAAGATTAGTTTTATGACTAGCTAGCCCAGCAGACATTCTGCCTTTACCGTGGTAAATGACATAATGAATTTCACTCTGAATTCAGTCCGGACTTTTCACAGTGTAAATATAAAATGTGTTAATAAATCGAAATCAGCGCCACCTGTCGGTGTCTAGATTTTGTTACTTTCGTTTTTGGTTCTGAACTAACATATTGAGAATATGAGTTCATAAATATATAATTTGACTACAACGCCACCTATCGGATTCTAGCGTAGTCATGAACCATCTTCTCAATAAAATGTTGTGTGAATATAATCTCAATCGGACAAGTCGTTCAGAAGTTACACGAACACTAACAGATCACCAACGATAAAGAGAAAATAAGTTTTTTTTTTTAATTTGGACACGACTTTTAACGTAATGTATTCATGCGACGGGTGCGCAATATAAATTAAAATTAAAATTTACGTTGAGGTCTTAGTCCCTTCAATCGAAATTTACAGGTTTGCTGTCCGGTGTTGGGGCCAGTGCCGACTTCAGATAGAAAATGCCTAACACCCAATGGTTACGAAGGAAAGTGTATCAGTTTGAATGCTTGTCCTCATCTCAACAGTATGATGCAACTACCGATATCCTATGCAGCCAAAACGTTTCTTCAAAACTCAAGGTGCATTGCTAAGTTATTTTAAGCCTTATTTAATCTACTCATCTATACTAATCAATGATGCCAATCATAGGAACTTATTTTATTCATTAATTTAATTAAACTTTCCAGTCAACAAATTAGGATAAACAGAGATAAACATACTTTAGGTAGGTGTGTTTTAATAATCTCTAAAACTACTGACAGAGTGCGCTAAATACTCTACTCTATTTACATTAACTCACTTTTTGCCACATTGTTCACTAGTACCAATTAAAACACAAAAAAGCCGTTATGTATAACAAAAGTATAGAAAAGAGTTTTAGAAAATAAAATAAATAAAATCTCTCTTTGTAAAATCTGTACTATAAATAAAATAAGTACGTATCGTGTCATTTTAAAAAAAGTTGGCAACCCTAATACAGACTTATTTACGATTTAGCGATTCCAAGTAGACCGTTTTCCTACCGGGGAAATATACAAATTGCTTGGGGTTGATAAGCACATCAGATCTATCCACCATTACTAGTCCGTGAAACTTGACTTTTTGTCATCAGTCGGCCGCCAGATCCTAGTTCGTATTACCCGCTCACCTTATTCAGCCGCTTAATAGCAGTCCTTGCACTGATTTGTTCCGATCTGAATGATATAGAGAACCAGTATAACTACAGGCATTCGATTTTATTCCTCAGACGTGACAACACGTCTATAGCTACCTTTGTTTGAAGGTGGACTATCTATAATTTAATATGAGACTTCAGTTTTAAAAAAAATAGTCGATCAGTATTGTTGCGCACCATAGTTAATGTCTGGTACAT